ATTACCGGGTATTTAAATACTATGTAACCATTTTGCATTTGTCAATAAACTGTCCAGCAGTTAATTTGTGTCTCCTCGCTTTCTTCTTCAGGTGCTCGGCAAGGCGCAAAGGCTGAGCACTAAGATCCGGTTGTAACATATGCAGTAATATTGGTTCGATTGCGTTTGTTTAATATTTGATTTTACTACATTTGGTACTATAAGCTAATACTCAATTATTCTAATTTTCCAATCTCACAATTCATTATATCAGGAGTGAATAATAATAGATTATTATGTAGATAAAATATTATAATATAGATCTAATAATAGATCTATTATTATTCACTCCTGATTATATGTCATCTGATAACATACTAAATTAACGTCTGTGTTCATATAAAGAGCATTTCCAGTTGACACTGCTCTTGAGATTGATTCTAAATATTTTGCCTGATAATTAAAGTGATTACGTCACCGTAAATAGTAAAAATTAAAAAAAATATTTTCACTTTTTGTTCGGATACTCGTGCAGAGCGCACGCGCTGCGTCCGGACGGAACATACGACTACATTAAATCGGACCTAAACGGGAAATACTCGATTATATTACCAGGTAAACGACACGTTCTGTAGTGCATGCCCGTTCAACAGTTTCGCAGCAATAATCCTTATAAAGCTGTTGACAGTTGCTGCTGCTTTGTATAATAGGTTTGGAAAACATTGCGTGTTTACGCGTTTTAAATCTCGGCTACGTGTGTATCACGTGAACTTTTATTGAGTTGAATGCAAAGCAGCTACGCGCACACATCACCCACAATGCACACTCATCCCCGCAATAAATCCACACTCTTACATTCAATCCACAAGCGTCTATACCTGACCTTGCAGACAAGCACCCGCCAGTGACCCAAACTCCACGACAGATGGCGCTCTCGCTCATAGGCTCAATCTACATCCTGAGTCAAACTGCATGCAGCGCCCCCTTCCCACACTCAGGACACACGTAGAATTGAGCCAGAGCGAGAGCACCATCTGTCGTGGAGTTTGATCCTGAGTGTGGGAAGGGGGCGCTGCATGCAGTTTGCCAGTAACCCAAACTCCACGACAGATGGCGCTCTCGTTCTGGCTCAATTCTACGTATATCCTGAGTGTCGGAAGGGGGCGCTGCATGCAGTTTGCCAGTAACCCTCTCTGTATCACTCATCGCACCTCCGCCGCAAAGAAATCCACACTCTTCCTTCAATAATTCTTCACTCTTCTCTCAATAATTCTTCACTCTTCTTTAAATAATTCTTCACTCTTTTTTAAATAATTCTTCATTCTTCTTTCAATAATTCTTCACTCTTCTCTCAATAATTTTTCACTCTTCTTTAAATAATTCTTTACTCTTCTCTCAGTAATTCTTCACTCTTCTTTAAATAATTCTTCACTCTTCTCTCAGTAATTCTTCACTCTTCTTTAAATATACTGGTAAACCTGTCTGCAAAACCGGGATCCACTTACTGCTAATATAGATTACTATAATAACACTATCGTATGTACAATCTATCGATGTAAAATCGCTAGATTGCGCATATCGGTAACACGTGTTCGCAATTCCGACTACCAGTATGGCCGGCGGCACGGGATTGTAGGTAATATTGCTTTTTTAGAGCAAGTCGCGGAACCCTCTATACTTGCACTGGTCAACAATTACACACATTACCTCACACACCCCTCTACATACATACATGCATACAAATACACACTTGCGTACATACACCTGCATCCCTGCATACACATACACATACATAACACCACACACACACCAACACACACACACCTACATACTCAATTGTAGGCCCTACTCATTGCCATCACATACATTTCACATGTGTTAATCAAATAATAGCCTCGTTCACACGAGACCTCGTATTTATGAAATATGGTAATTGCGAAATACCGAATTTGTGACAAATACGCGGCCGAGCGTTCACACGCTGATTCGCGGCTCCAGAAATACGGTATTTGCGAAATACCGAATCTGAGACAAATACGCGGCCGAGCGTTCACACGCTGATTCGCGGCTCCAGAAATACGGTATTTGCGAGCTGCGAGCTGCATTAAACAATCAAGCGAACAATGCGATATAAACAATGCAATGCGCACCAACTGCCGATAAAATACGTAGACTCGGTCGCCGCTTGACAGTTCCACTCGCGTTACACTGGAACTGTCGAGCGCGGACCAGTCTATAAAATACGCGGCTTCAGAAATCCGGTATTTAGCGTTCACACGAGAAATGCGCCGTCCAACAGATCCGGTATTTCTCAAGCACGGCAAATTATTCGGGGTCTGGGAAGCCGCGTATTTACATCAAATACCGGATCTGTTTAGATACCGTATTTCACGGACCGCGCATTTTTGCTCGTGTAAACGCTAAATACCGAATTTCTTGCTACGTGTGAACGCGACTAATACCGTTCGCTTGATTGTTTAAAGCAGCTCGCAGCTCGCAGCTCGCAATACCGTATTTCTGGAGCCGCGAATCAGCGTGTGAACGCTCGGCCGCGTATTTGTCTCAGATACGATATTTCGCAATCCGGTTATTCAGAAATACGAGGTCTTCGTGTGAACGAGGCTAATGTCTTGTTTTGTATTACATAATTTTTCCTACAATTTAAAGCCATCTGCTGAGGTATACTAATATTACACTTGTGTGTCCGGAATCCTATACTGTGGTACATTGTAAGCAAGTTTATTACTTGGCATCTGGACTAACTGAATGTGTACGTTTGCACTGTCAAGAGTATAGCCTAGTCAAAACGAGCCAGGTCTGTTAAAAGGTCGTTTACATGGCATTCTATAGGGGAATTTACAGGGGATTTACACGGTAAATTACCGGGTATTTAAATACTATGTAACCATTTGCATTTGTCAATAAACTGTCCAGCAGTTAATTTGTGTCTCCTTCGCTTTCTTCTTCAGGTGCTCGGCAAGGCGCAAAGGCTGAGCACTAAGATCCGGTTGTAACATATGCCAGTAATATTGGTTCGATTGCGTTTGTTTAATATTTGATTTTACTACATATTGGTACTATAAGCTAATACTCAATTATTCTAATTTTCCAATCTCACAATTTCATTATATCAGGAGTGAATAATAATAGATTATTATGTGTAGATAAAATATAAATATAAGATCTAATAATAGATCTATATTATTCACTCCTGATTATATGTCATCTGAATACTTAAATTAACGTCTGTGTTCATATAAAGAGCATTTCAGTTGACACTGCTCTTGAGATTGATTCTAAATATTTTGCGCCTGATATTAAAGTGATATTACGTCACCGTAAATAGTAAAAATTTAAAAAAATATTTTCACTTTTTCCACAATTGTAAGTAATTCTGTTCACTTTTTGTGTGTTAGATTGCTACATTATACTTCCGATTTTACTATATTGTTCGATGTAAACATAGACTCGTGACTCATACATAGCCCATAGCAAGCAATTAATGTCAAGATATAATCAGGATCAGGTTTTTTGGATTTTTAACTAGTTGAGAAACAATCTCATCAGGTATGAATTTGACGATACATTTAGTCACGTTACTACTTACGTTTATGTAAAAATGGCTACAAATATTTTACAAATATACACCATAGAAAATTCGTGACGTAGTCAATTTAAATGAAAACCATAATAATAAATGAAATCGAACGTAACAATGTTGGCTAAAATATCAGATGTAGTTCTTATCAATACAATCTTGTTATTATAGCCTTGGCCAGTAAGCTAATGCTTTTTCTTAGTCCATGTCAACAGGCTAAGGGGCTACTACAAGCATGAGTGTTTTGGGGTAAAGCTCAATTGTGATAGTTAATTTGTTAGTGTGTGCTATATATTAATCAAAATTGTTTAAAGAGAAAGTGAGATGGCAATGAATTATCGTTCTCGGACCAATCATTTGCCTCATCCAGTAAGAATGTTTGACCAATGCCCATTGTGTGCTGCGACCCCGACATTTCCGATTCTGGATAAAGTAATGATTCCTGGGTGTCATTCATCCTGTATATATACAGATTGCCTGCAGCCATGCTAGTGATTAATGAAGATCTATAATCTGCCTATGGCTATGCGGAATGAAACATCTAACTAAATAGATGTAAAGACAGGGCTCCCCACATCTCACACAAGAGTTTGAAAGGCACAGTATTTAATATAATACACAATTCTTTATGTTCATAAATATACCTGATATTGCCAAGATAGTTTATTCACTAGTAAAAATATAATATTATATATATATATATATATATATATATGTGTGTTCATGTATTATAATAAATATATATAATATATATATATATTATATATATGTTCATGATAATGCCAATATGACTATACCAATGCGACAATACGACAATGCCAATATGACTAATTACTATACGACAATGCCAATATGACTAATTATTGTAAGTATTATCCAGAGCACATGAACAAATTATATGCTTGTGTAATTATCAATAATTCGTGAAGAGAATGATTATCTCATGATGTACACGCTGTTTATACGAGTTCTATGGCTTCATACAGTAAAGCTTGATGCATAATTAGCGAGCTGGGTGAGCGAGCACTACACGTGAAGCACCGTTGCAACAATGCGGCCAAAGTGGGGGTGTAATGTAATGTTTATGTGATGTAAAACAGTGTATGAAGACGGTGTCATATTATGCATATTTTGTATTATTATGGGCACAAGTGTGACAGAACGATTTTACCTTCTAGATTTAGTCTTTAATAATCGTATACCGCCCAGTAGGCTATAGCTTGATTTACACACTCCACCCAGTCACTGATGTGTTTTATGCGCGCTGCCTTTGTGAAGTGACCTGACGAGATCATCTCCAACTTCATCAGCACGATCGACATCTCGTGGTCCTTTTTCACTTTGCGTTCCATTCGTGATGGGTCAAACGTTCTTCTGTATGCCGTTGCCTGTTGGTGCATCTTCTCAAAAACGGGAGCCTCACCTTCGATGGACAATGGAGCGCCAATGTCACGCTGGAAAGACGCGATAGCTTTGTCGATCGATGAGCGCCTCGCATTAGTTGCTGCTGGTGCAGGCAGGCCACGAGTGACTAAAGCTCTTAGGGCAACTCCTTTATCCACTTTCTTCTGGGCTTTCACAACGCGCTTTATTTCTTTGTCTTCGACCATTTTGTACCTGCAAAATTGGGTAGGTTCAATGTGCACACGTTGGCCGTGATGTAATTTTGTGCCATGCTTTTTATATATACCTTGTAAAGGTTTTGCTTATCCATGGCACCGAGTCTTGATTGTTAATCTAGATAATTTCATTGGAGTCAGACACAAACGCGAATTTTAAGCAATTCTAGAGTATACTTCTGGTAGAATAATTTTATATCGAAGGTACAGAACAAATGAAAGACAGAGGACAGAATATTTGTCAATAGGAAAGCCATCTATTCACACGGGGAAGGAGAAACTGACAAATCGTTATATGGAGTCCAATTTCTTATTTTCACCATTAACACTACCGGTACTATACTGTTACCGCTGCCATCTCCAGTGCCACCACCACTAATCCCTTAACACCACCACTGCCACCAGCACCACCACCACCACCGCCACGACAACGACCACCGCCACCACTACCACCACCACCACCACTACACCCCTGCCACCAACATCACAACCACGACGATGACCACCACCAATACCACCATCAATCCCGCTGCCGCCACCGGCGCCACTGCCACCACGCCGCTACCACCACCACAAACAGTTACAGCTAGTGACACCACCATAGGCCCACAATCACAACTACCTGTAACACCAGTGGTGCCACTGCGATCACCAGTATCTCACCACTGACTGTTAACGTCACAGATAATGTATTGTAAAACTTAACCACTACAAACTGACCTTAGGATTTTATTTTTCTTCCTGCCGTGGTGTAGAGTCATGCAAAGAGCTCTCAACACATGTATTCTGTCGCAGATCTGGTGTTGCTGCTGCAGAAATCATCATATTCACTGCTACTGGTGTGTCATGCGGGCTCTGATAATAACTTATTCTTAGCGGCGAGGGAGCTGATAGGTTTTCGCACGACAGCATGTGGGTCACCGTCCCAGCTGTTATGATGCTAATGCTCGTGTCCACAATCGAGTTTTTAGGTACGGTGGAAGCTTTCATCGAGTGCACCGACCTTACTGATAACCCATACAAGTATGCGTTTGTGTACCACTGGGAGCTGTTTGATGAGGGTGGTTTATGCACTAGACTTCACAACGTCTGAGAACTTCTTCTACCCGTTGGGTGCGACTGCACCGATTGCCTCTCCTCCTCAATGCTGATAGGTTCTATCGCCGTGCCCTCGGTTGTCAGACTGACGGTTGCCGGAAAGAGTACTGCATTGTATGTGGCAGTGTTCGAGTTCTCGCTGAGTTGCTTCGCGGAAGTCGGCATGGCAACGACGCTGGTCGAACCTGGCGTTAGCAGCGGCCCGTATGTAATGCTCGGCGCCAGGCTGTCCTTCCTGATGTATGTGCGGCACAACATCGAGGGCGTCGACGGAGTTGATATGGAATTTGAGGGAGGCGTGCGAAGAGTGACGGACTCGCGTTTCCTACTGCTACTACTTGTATGCGCAGGCTCGTAGCTAGGCAATGAGTAGCTCTTTCCGGAAGCCATGCTATCTCGTCGACAACTCTGCGTGATGACCTTCTTGATGTTGTCGAGGCTACTAAGTGAACTACTTCGATTTGATGGGCTGATGGATCCATGGCGTAAAGACGAGATCGACTCGCGCCGCGACGTCGACGCAATCGGCTTCTGCAGTATGATGTCTGGCAGTCCGAAATCAGGAGTGATTGCTGTCAGCGGGTTGTGGCTGTGGCGAGCAGAGAACGGTGTTCGCATATCCATGCTACTTTGATCATTCTCTGTCACGAGCCTGTGGCGCACGATTTTTAATAGCATAGTAAGTGAGTGCTCTGAACAGGACAGTGAGGCCCTTCGTTCAGCTACGGGCGGATCATCGTGGCCATATAGGTTGAGGCTCGACAGCGACAGGCTGCGATTCGACAACGTTGCCGTACTGGCGTCATGCAGCACAATCATCGGCGCCGTGAACGTCATTCTCTTCTTGTGGGTTTGCTGTTGGCGGCCTCCTCTGTCACCTCTCGCACGTGGCACGCGGGGTGCAGCCGACAGCGTTATGTCACTCATGCGTATGGTGACTATGTTAGTGGGCAGTGTGAGCGATCTTGTCGATCGTGTGAATGATCTTGTGGGTACTATGAGGCTCGTGCGGTGCAGTCCTCTGGGCCTGGACAGCAACTGCGTCTTTGCACACACTTTCGTCGCTGGCAAACTGTTTCTTCTCAAATATTTATCCTCGAAACCTGGTTTATGCGTCTTTTTTAGCGGGTTTGGTTTAGCTATGGACATGGATGATCGACAACAATGTTTTTCTGACATCAAGAGCGCCTCTCGTTGCTTGTGCACGGATTCGCATTGGCGCTGCGGCGGCTCAATGACCAGCGTCACCGTCGAAGATAATAATTGCTGCGATATTCTCTCTGTGGATGATGTGTGTGGTTTCATTACGAACTTGTTGCCGCGCCAGGATGGTGCGAAGATCTGATGTGATGTCGTGGTGTGCAACTCTGTCCCAGTCAGGCAGCTAGAACTGCGCATCGATCTGGTATCCTTGTCACACTTGTTCTGCCTGCCATTCAATTCGAGAGCTGTTACCGGAACACTGTTTCTGCGGCAATCCCCATGATATTTCATCACGCGAGGCTTGTCTAGCTGAACACTTAGGTTCAAAGCCATATCTTTGGAAGTGTTACCACTGGAAACACTGGTGATCTTATTAGTGGTATTGGTGGTGCTATTTTTATCAAATTGACACTCGGTTGTTGCCATAGTCACGTTGTTGACTACGTATACAGTCGCTGTATTTTCGCAACAAGTGAGGGATGGAATGAAATTTGCCTGTGGACATTGTTCATTTGGTATTGCTACCACAGCGGAATTTAGGGTCTGCATGCTGTAATCAGCTTCGCTAAAATAGTTGTTATCGTCTAGCATCGCATTTGTTGTGCTTTGTTTTGACTGCGTGGCAGTGTTGTCTGATTGGCCGACTACGTCAGAATATACGGGGTATTTACCAACAGTTGCAGCCATCAATTCAATAGTTGGTGGGTAATTTAGGGTAACGTCATCGGTCATTCCCTCCTCAGTAGAACATCCAGGTGGGGTAATCTCGCTGCTAGTATGATTCGTTGCTAGGTCATCAACGGTTGCTACAACCGTAGTAGCCATGTCGTATGTTTCGTGAGCGTTGCCGACGCTGACACATGACTCGTGCACTCTGTATGTTTTCTTCGTGTGCTTCGTACACAGTGCTCCACACGACGAGCTACTATTGGTCCATTTTGAAACTCCCTTGCCTGGCATCATTGAGATTCCATGTGGACCAAACCCTTTCTGTACGCCATATCCTTAGCCGTTCCATTAGAGGTAGAGGACGTGATTGTTGAAGGCGGTTCTTTTTGTATGTAACTGTCAAGTTGGCTCCCAATGTGACCACGTTGGCTGAACTTGCTGAGTGATTCACTTTTACCGTGACTGTTTTTCGAATTGCTATTGTTTCTGTCGCATGCGTTAGGTTTACGTTCTGAAACCAGATTTTTCATAGTTTCTGTGTCATCACAATTAGAGCTACATGCTTTGGTGAGCTGGTCAGATATATATTCTTCTGCATCTGTGCCATCGGCAAGCGATATCCATTCTTCGACTTGTAAAGTGTTGTGGTGGGAAGGGCGTATTGATGGTTCAAGCAAAATTTGAGACTTTGGAAGGATACTAGCTGACGGAACTAGTTTACCGATAGTTGTTTCGTCTACCAATTTGTCATATAATGCATTAGTAATTCCTGTTTTGACAATTTCTGGCATAAGATGGCAGGCTACATAATTATCTTTGGCCCCTGTTTCAATCGCATGATTGTATGTATTATAGCCGCTAGTAGTCGCGGCACCAACAGTGAATTTGTGCGCATATGCTGTTTCACAATCTTTGTGAGCTTTATCACGCAACAAGTTTATTCCAGTTTCCTTCATGCTGGTTGGTGCAGCAACAGGTGTTGTAGACACTGCTTTTATCACATTAGTAGCATAAGGGACATCAATGGCAAGCTTATTGCCTGTGACTATAACGTCAGTAAACATAGGAGGTGCTAATTTATTAATATCGCCACTGATTCTTGTGGAATTAAACTCTGAGACTTCCTCATAGGACGAACTATTGGAGAGTAAACCAGAAATGATTGTGTCGGTCTGTTGATCTTGCCTGCGTACATGACCATAGTTCTTGCAATTGTATTGCGTATTATTTATCGAAACATTTTTGCTTGGCAAGGACTTTTCAGACTCAGGTACTGCGTCTACATGTGTAACACTAGCCATTGAGTTCAATCGTTTGATCTCACTGTTATCGGTAAATGTATCAACCATCGTGGGCAATGTATCACTTCCACATTGTTTTACCTTTGTTGCATCACTGATTGTTTGAAGGCTGCTAGATGATGTTTCAGTTTTACGGATTAATTGTTTCCTCCCCGCGCCTTCGTCGATTGTCTGAACACTGGTGAATAATGCTTCACGGCCACAGTTTAGTTGTTTTGTCACTGTGGTATCACTAACTGTCTGAACATTGGCGATGGATGTTTCAGTTCTACCTTGTTTTGTCACTGCGGTATCGTTGTCTATGTGAACAATAGTGAGCGGTATGAAGATACCGATCCATAGTTCAAATTTCTCGTCTTTCTGGCGGGCGTAGGCAAATACATAGCAGTGACAGGATATGTATGTACCTATATCTATGTACGAATGTATATACATAGCACCTGTCTATGTATGTCTACGCTATCGGCTTTGCTCTTTTCGATTTCCAACGTCGTTGGTCTTGTAATCTTAGAGATATTTCTGCTTGCATTATTCGCTGATCGAGATGTGACACTAGGTTTACATTTTATATCGGATATTGTCATCTTGGTTTCGTGCGGCAATAATTCACCTAATGATGGTAGCTGATCGGCAACTGGAGATTGTCTTCTACCTACGTGTCTTTGGTTAATCTGAGGGTACATCGGTGAGACTGTTTGCCGATTAGGTTCGCCAGTCCCT